GACCCTTCATCTGATGAAGGGTCTAGGCCCGAAACGTCAGCCTCTCTGCTCCTATGATGCTGCTTGGCCTGCTGTGTTCATCCAGCCCTGCACCTTGTTGTCTCGGATTCACCAGCATCTGCAGTTCCTAATATCTCTGATTCAATTTTAACCCCACTGCGAAGCCTCTTCCAAGGATGCCTAGCCTGAAGAAGTTACCCTCCTCCCTCCGGACAAATCTCAGGGGATCTCTCTCCCACTGCAACTCTCTCGTAATCTCTTCGGCCCTGAAACTGCTCGACCATGTCCTGAAGCAAACCAGGTACTACAGCCATAGCACCTGCCTACGGAACCAGATCATCCCCAATGGACTACAATCCACATTCAAGCCTTCCCAATTTGGCCCCAACCGTGACAATATCTACACTCATGGCATTGAGATCCTTCAGAAGCGTTTCTCCCTGCAACTCCTCCCTTTTCTGATGAAGGGTCTAGGCCCGAAACGTCAGCCTCTCTGCTCCTATGCTGCTGCTTGGCCTGCTGTGTTCATCCAGCCCTGCACCTTGTTGTCTCGGATTCACCAGCATCTGCAGTTCCTACTATCTATATACAGAGAGATCTAGGGGTGCAAGTCTATAGCTCCCCGAAAGTGGCAACACAAATGGATAAGATGGTAAAGAAGGCATACAGCATGCTTGCCTTTATTTTTCAGGGCAGCGAGTATAAAAATTGGCAAGTCATGTTGCAGCTGTACAGAACTTTAGTTAGGCCACATCTGGAGCTATGTGTGCAGTTCTGGTCACTGCACTATAAGGACGATGGGGAGGCTTTGGAGCGGGTGCAAGAGAGGCTTACCAGGATATTGCCCATGTTGGAGTGTAGTAGCTATAAGGAAAAGTTGGTCAAACGTGGCTTGTTTCAAACACAGCATTGTAGGCTCAGGTCAGGGATGGCCTGATAGAAATACATAAAATTATGAGAGGCATGGACAGGGTAGATAGTCAGAATCTTTTACCCAGGGTGAAACTGTCAAATACTAGGAGGTATAGATTTAAGATGAGGGGGAAACTTTAAAGGAGATGTGAGAGGCAAGTGTGTGCCTGGAACATGCTGCTAGGGGAGCTGGTAGAAGTAGATGCAATGGCAATGTTTAAGAGGCATTTAGACAGACACATGAACAGGCAGGGAATAGAGGGATACAGACCATGTGCAGACAGATAGGATTAGTTTAGAATGACATCATGGTTGGCACAGACATTGTGGACCAGAGGGCCTGTTCACGTGCTTTACTGTTCTATGTTCTATATTGTTCTATATTGTTCCATGTGATTATATGGTTTCTCATGGGGGTAGAAACGTCATATACAGGTTTCACAATTCAGTGGGCTGCATGGACCAGAGTGCCTTACTAGTCCTTCTATATAATTAGATTCAAGCTTCCTAAGAGGCAAAGCAATTATTAATATTCATTAATATTCAGTCCTATTCCGGCCCCCACCCACAACTCTTTCTCCGATACATCGATGATATCATCGGTGCTGCTTCCCTGTTTCGTCGAGAATTGGAAAACTTCATCAATTTCGCCTCCAATTTCCACCCTGCCCTCAATTTCACCTGGTATCTCTGACTCCTCCCTTCTCTTCCTCGACATTTCTGTTTCCATTTCTGGGGATAGACTGGCCACTAATATCCATTTACAAACCCACCGACTCCCACAGCTACCTGGACTATACATCCTCACACCCCACTTCCTGTAAAGACTCCATCGCATTCTCTCAGTTCCTCCGTCTCCGTCGCATATGTTCAGATGAGGCCAACTTCAACAAGGGAGCCTCCGAAATGTCCACATTCTTTCTCAACCGAGGATTCCCCAGCTCCGTTGTCGACAGGGCCCTCAATCGGGTCCGACCCATCTCCCGCGCTTCTGCCTTCACCCCTTCTCTTCCCTCCCGCAACAGCGATAGGGTTCCCCTTATCCTCACCTACCATCCCACCAGCATCCACATCCAGAAGATCATCAGACGCCATTTCCGCCACCTCCAGCAAGATGCCACCACCAGACACATATTCCCCTTCCCTCCCTTGTCCGCCTTCTGCAGGGACCATTCCCTCCAGGACACCCTGGTCCATACTTCCTTCACCCCGGTCCATACTTCCTTCACCCCCAACACCTCCCCACAGCCCTACAGCACCTTCCCCTGTAACCGGTGAAGGTGCAACACCTGCGCATTTACCTCCTCCCTCCCCAGTATCCAAGGGCCCAAATATACCTTCCAGGTGAAGTAACACTTCACCTGCACTTCCAAGAATCTAGTCTACTGCATTCGCTGCTCACAATGTGGTCTCCTCTACATTGGGAAACGAAGCGTAGACTTGGCGACCGCTTCGCAGAATATCTATGTTGTGCTCGCAAAAAAGACCCTGAACTACCTGTTGCCTGCCACTTCAATGCACCACCCTGCTCCCTGGCCAACATCTCTGTCTCCGGCTTGCTACAGTGTTCCAGCGAAGCCCAGCGCAAGCTGGAGGAACAACACCTCATTTTCCGCTTGGGGACCCTAAAGCCCTCCGGACTCAATACTGAGTTCAATAATTTTAGGGCCTAAACTCTCCCATGTCCCAGCCCCCCACCCCACACACCAGGCCTTTTTACCACATAGCCTGCCACTACACACCCCCTGTTGTTAGTCACTAACAGTCCCCATTAACAATTATTCACCCTCCCGGCCTGATCGTTAGCAACTCCTTTGTCTGTCCAACTGTCTTTCTCTCTCTTTGGGTTCTATCCTATCGTTTACTCCCTACCCCACCCACCTCCCTATTTTCTGCATATAAACTGACGTTTTCCCAGCCACCATCAGTTCTGAGGAAGGGTCACCGGACCCGAAACGTTAACTCTGTTTTCTCCTCCACAGATGCTGCCAGACCTGCTGAGCTTTTCCAGCGACTTTGTTTTTGTTCCTGATTTACAGCATCTGCAGTTCTTTTGTTTTTATTAATATTCATGCTTCTTTAAACAAGTTATATAATGAACTCTAGTTCCCCTCATTAATAACTACTAAATTGATCCAATTACTCTTGCAGATTCATGTACTCAAGGTCAGCCCCATGTGCAATCTTTTCTCTCTCCCACTGACAGGTCCCGACGGTTGGAATTGTACTCCTGGATCTATGAAGATACATATGTATTCCCATTATAGCATTATGTTATTGTGAAAGATCTGTGCCCTGATCCTGCAAGTGAGGAGGATTAGGTATAGTAGAGTAATTCTGAACTTAAGTAAATTCATTGCAGATATTTTCCTGATTAGATAAATTTTTGACTAATTGAGTGGTGCAATACGTTAATGCAATGCCTTTTTATCTCTGGTACACTGGTTCAATTAGACAGAATTTTGTTGGCTTTAGATGGCCTACAAAAATGAATTTGGAAAGGCTCAATTATGGGTATGCTGACAAAATAAAATGGCGCACAATCACCACTAAAAGAGATTAAAAGGGAAGTATCAGATGTTGCAAGAGTGAAATGAAAACAGAATATATAGTTTCACGTGTCAAAAGTGCGGCATACAATTTTATACTATAGTCTATCTTCCTCTCAGACAATGAACGGCTTGCATTTTTGCAGCATTTGTGACTTCTCTATTATTATTCCAGTGTTTGTAAATCATGTCCTGCAAGGCCATGGAATAATACAGGAAAACAGAAAAATTCCCAGTAATTTTACAAATTAAAATGAAACCTGTCATAGTATTGAGAAAAGGGCATGCTATTTACCACTTGGAAGATCGGCTCCATTTTTGTTGTATGAAAACACAGGTGCACTGGTGAGGTACTCTCCCTTTTCACTCACAGCAAACCCAGGGTACAACAGATCATCAAAACAGCTTGTGATTTGAGATGCAGGCATTGGTGGGAGATTAGCCCCATGCATAGGTGCAGAAAGTGGGGTAATAAATGCTGAGGTCACTTGAGCCTGTGACATTGTCTGACTGGACATCACTGAAGATGAAGAAAAAGTTGAAACGACTGTCTGTGTCAAACACTCTGTCAAACAACAGAAGAAGCTATCTTCAATATTCCTTCTTAAAATTGTCACACAGTACTATTGCAATGAAGCTGTGAATCATATTCCTGAATTCTTAATCTTTGTTGTTTTCGAAATGTTTACTGTTAGGTAACTGAGCATTTGATTCCCAACTCTGACATTCTTTGACATTATTAACATCACCAACTATGACATTCTTTGACGTTATTAACATCACCAAAGTAACAAATGACTTTACAAATGTTCAAAGATATCATTCATTTTGTTACAAGAAATACTAGCATTTTTAGGAGTTGCATATAATTGTTGTTATTAATGTGCTCCAGATTCATACATTAAATTTCTTAATACACAAAAAAATCAATTCCAATGCACAATCACACTATATTTTTCTAAGTGCTCAAACCTATAAAGTATACCTGAAATATTCCCAAAATTAACTCTAGAACATTTTCTGAACAAATAATTTGACATGAAGTGTACAATACATAAGATAGGTTGAATTTTTAAGGATAGATAACCTTAAAAACTAAGTGAAATCACTGTTAAAGACATAATTTGAATTCATCTTTACATTAGAACAAATATTATAGTCATAGAGGCTCACAGCACAGAAAAAGGCGCTTCAGTCCATTGCATCTGCGCCAGCAAAAACAATCACCTAACTCATCCAATCCCATTTTCCAGCACTTGGCTCAAATCCTGTATACCTTGGAATCTACAACTCTCCACGCTCCACAGTCTACAACCAGATTCACCAACTTAACTCCTGACATATAAGTACTTCTTAAATGTTGAAGGTTTTTGTCTCTACCACCTTAAAGGCGGCAGGTTCCAGTCTCCCATGACCCTCTGTGGGGGGAGAAAAAAGTTTCCTCACATCTCCTCAAAACCTCCTGCACCTTACCTTAATTCTATGCCCCTGGTCATTGATCCCTCCACCAATGGGAAAAGTTCCCTCTTGTCCACATCCCTCATAATTTAAGAAACTTACAGAATACTGAATGGCCTGGACAGAGTGGATGTTGGGAAGATGTTTCCATTGGTAGGAGAGACTATGACCCGAGGGCACAGCCTTAGAGAAAAGCGAAGACCTTTTAGAACAGAGATAAGGAGAAACTTCTTCAGCCAGAGGGTGGTGAATCTATGGAATTCACTGCCACAGAAGGCTGTGGAGGCCAGGTCATTGAGTATACTTAAGACGGAGATAGATAGGTTCTTGATTGTCAAGGGGATCAAAGGTTACGGGCAGAATGGGGTTGAGAAACTTATCAGCCATGATTGAATGGCAGAGCAGACTCTATGGGCTGAATGGCCTAATTTCTGCCCCTATGTCTTATGTCTTAATTTTATGCATCTCAATCTCCTCTGCTCTAAGGAAAACAACTCCAGTCTGTCCAATCTCTACATAATTAAAATCCTCCAGCCCAGACAACATCCTGATAAATGATCTCGGTAACCTCTCCAGCGCAATCACATCCCTCCTTTAATGTGCACTCCAGAAAGGCACACAATAGTCTAACTGTGAAATTATCTACATACTACATGCAGTATGCAACTATCTTTTGAATTATATCAGTAATCTCCAAATAAACACATTACCTGCTGATCGGCAAGTGACTGACTCAGATGAATGTACTGAAAGCACTGGTGAAGTCAATGATGGTGCTGATGAAGGAAGCCGTGACAAGCTCAGATCTGACTGAAGGACAGGATCCATTCTTTGCACTGTAGGGCAAGGGGGAATCTCCAATGGATTCTTCAAGACAGACATTTAAATGAAATTAATATATATCATTTTTAAGAAATATGTAATTTAACAATCTGATAATTATTTTCATGCACACAAACTGTACATGTTGGAGTGCACCAGAAAATTATTTTAATCATGTTGGTGGGACTTTCTGAACATGTATTACCATGTTGTGGCCCCTGTGGAGACTGACAATTTTCAAGAAGAAATTCAAGCTTCCTGTCAATAGTTGACTGGATTACATGACAAAATTTCACATTTTGTAATGTTTTCTCTAACCAACTCTGTTGACTAACCACAAATTGTGTGGGCAACTTTTACTTCATACTTACTACCAGTCATCTTTGTCCTGTGTCCAGTGTATTGTTCTCACCTTGCAAACACCTTTGAGGAACAGCAACTATCTTTGGCCTCTCCCTCTGCAAAACCACCAAACTGGACAGCCTAGCATGGATGAGCAACCAGGTTAACCAATCTACATTCGGAGACATCTAAATCCTTCCTAAATGTTGAGAGTTTCTGCCTCTACTATCCTTACAGGCAGTAAGTTCCAGATTGTTGGACACTCTTGGCTGTTTCAATGCCTCAATTCAACTTGGTAAGCCTCTGATCCTGCATCATGCCATCCCCTGGTAAGATTGCAATTCCCTGGCAAAATCTTGGTCTATTTCTTCCTTAATTATGCAAAGTGTCTTCCCAATTCTTTCTTTTTGACTTAACAACCAACATGTTGCCTCCCTTCAGAGAACTGGCTGATGGTGGTTATTAGCCAAGAATCCTGCCCAATGGGCTTCTGCACCATCTTACCAAGCCTCCTCGTTATTCCTGTCTTGTGTGGGTTGGTAAAATTCAGATCCTCTTATTGAGCCTTCAGATTTGTGATTATCTTTTGCTGCTATCTAAAACTCTCCCAATCCCCAGTCTCATGATTCTTCTTGAAAATGTTAGTAATCTCTTCTTTTAATCTAGTAATAACATTAGCTTCTAGTTAGTCATGAGTCAATAGCTATTAAACATAGAAAATAAATGCAGGAGCAGGCCATACGGTTCTTCAAACCTGCGCCACATTTCAATATGATCATGGTTGATCATGCAATTTCAGTATCCCATTCCAGCTTTCTCTCCATACCCTTTGATCCCTTTAGCCACAAGTGCCATGACCAGCTCCCTCTCGAACGTATCTAACAAACTGGCCCTAAAAGCTTTCTGTGGTTAAGAATTCCACAGGTTCACAACTCGAGTGAAGAAATTCTTCCTCATATCAGTCCGGAATGGCTTACCCCCTATTCTTAGGCTGTGACTCCTAGTTCTGGACTTACTCAACATCGGGAACATTCTTCCCGCATCTAGCCTGTCCAGTCCCATCAGAAACACAAAAAGTGAGATCTCCCCCTCATTCTTCTAAATTCCAGTGAGTACAAGCCCAGTCTTTCTTCATCTGCCGGTTCTGCCATCTGGGAATCAGTCCAGTGAACCCTCATTGGACTCCCTCAATAGCAAGAATGTCCTTCCTCGGACTAGGAGGCCAAAACTGCACACAATACTCAAGGTGTGGGCTCACCAAGGTCCTGTATAACACTCTTCTCCTAAACTCAAATCCTCTCGCTACGAAGGCTAGCATGCCATTAGCTTTCCTCACCACCTGCTGTGCCTGCATGCCAAACTTCAGCGATTGTCCCACCATAACACCCAGGTCTCATTGCACCTCACTTTTTCCTAAACTGCCACCATTCAGATAATAATCTGCCTTCCTATTTTTGCCATTGGGGAGAATTTAGGAAGGATTTTGTTTTCGCTATTGCTTTAGTGCTTTTATTTCTCATTGAAATACAAATTCATTGAGAATTCTAAAATACTTCTTTCTAAAAAAAAAAAAAAATCGCAGATAGAAGATACGCTTCCATGCTTTTGTCAGAGGTTTGGGTATTGATGAAAACATCAGAAGTCTCTTGTTTCCCTCCATACAAACATCAGCCTGAAATTTCATTTGAAAGACTGTGACAGTCTTTCTTGATCTGACAGTGCAGCATTCTTTAGTACAGCACTGATGTGTCAGCTTAGGTCATGTGTTTGAGTCTCCTGGTGCAGTTTGAACCTAAACATCAGCACTATGAACACCTCCATTACAGCCATCAGCGCTACTCATCAACAACACCGCAAACAATGAGATCTTGTGAAAGTGTAACATGTCTGGTCTGTATCAACACCACTTTCTCCACCTAAGCAACACTGCCTGGCCCTGCCACCTATACACCCTCACAATGCCAGTGAAACCTCAGAGAAACCCATCAATTTTTAAGCTAAAATTAACCTACCTAGTCTCCCCTCCATCAACTTCCCAAGCTTCCAGTCACCAAATTGATGTAACCTTAATTCTTGCCAAAATCAAGTGCTGCAGTCTCCATGGCTCTTCATGTCATGCAGCTCATGAGTTGGCTCTCAAAAATTATGTCATTTGCAAACTCCTCATAACCTTTAATGATTTTCTACTAATTTGTGTATTCACACATATTTTGCTTCTCTTAGCACCTACTATTCACTTTGTCCTGATGTTCAATTGTTGGTACCAACTCAGTCGGGCACACTATAATGCTAGTGCGTTTAGCCTTTGGCCACGCTAAGTTGCCCATAGTGTCCAGGGATGTCCAGGGATGTGCAGGCTAGATGGATTAGTCATGGGAAATTTAGGGTTACGGGGGAGGGTCCTGGGTAGGATGCTCTTTGGAAGGTTGGTGTGGACTTGATGGGCCAAATGGCCTGTTTCCAGACGGTAGGACTTCTATGAAACTCTCCTTGCCAACAGGTAACAAGTAAGTAGTCCAAACCAGGAGATAGAATCTCCCTTGATTTGAAAGGGACAATTAGCTATTTATATAGCTTCAGAAACACCATCCCACGGAGCAAGGCAAGGAGATGGGCATGCATAGTAGAAGGATTGAACCTACGCTGCTGGTGCAATTCTGCATTACTGTCTAGTCAACCGAAATAACCTACCCTCCCCCAGCCAGCAAATGCTTACCCAACACCTCTTCAAACATTATAATTTAGTTCCCATTCCAACTACATTAAGTGCCCAGCTGCTTGACTAGACACTTTTGTACTCAATGTAACCCCATGCTTTACCAAATTTAAATATTAATTTGAATGTTGTATTTTCTCCACTTCTAAGGTGATAAGAGCAGGTGGCAGATAATATAATCCAATGCTCAACAACATGGAAAGTGTAATTGTTCCTTCTGCAGTACTGTTGTGTTTCTGTAGTGTAGTGGTTATCACGCTCGCCTTACACCCAAAAGGTCCCCAGTTCGAAACTGGGCAGAAACAGTGGTGCTTCTTCGTTACGGAGACAGGCTTCTAGATTAACGTGGACGGAGCATTCTTGTTGCATTGGTGGTTCAGTAGTAGATTTCTCGCCTGCCATGCGGGGGCCCAGGTTCGATTCCCGACTAATTCCTAGGGGCAGCACGGTGGCTCAGTGGTCAGCACTGCTGCCTCACAGTATTAGGGACCCACGATCGATTCGATTCCACTCTCTCTCATACACAACATGCGCACGGTTTTAAGTTTGGACTATGATATGACTGTAGGATATAGATTCTTTCACTGTTAGAGCTGCTGCTTTGTTTCACTCAATTTTTAAGAGGTTCAGGACATCTTAGGATACTCTGACAACATATAGAAAGCAGGATATAAAGCATGGACATAGCATGCCACTACTACTCTTCCTATTAATTACTGAAAATCAATAAAGAGTGTCAACTTGGACCTCTAACGGATCGTATCTTGCTGACATACACAGCGCTTATTCCTTGATGCCAACCAGTTAAAAAATGTTTTGGAGGATGATCAGCTCTAGAGACCTGTTCTATGGTGGATTAGGAGGGTGGAATCTTGCTTGGACAAGATTAGCTTCCAAGCTGCTCATTTGTATTGTACTCCATGTAGTGTGGGTTTGGTCAAACAGAGCCATAATATTTCATAATGTGTACAATATCTTTGAAGAACAGTGACATTAATAATGAGTTTAGGTAAGTTGGACTCTTAAAGGAAGTGTTCCAGCGATCTACTGCCATCATGATCAGAGAAAAAAAATTATAATTAGTTAGCATATAATACTACTTCATTCAGTTTAGCTGAATAAATAACTACATTATTCATTAGGCATCTTTGAAAAAATGTTGGAAGCGCTTTTCAGGATGAAATCATGACAGAGCGAGTCTGGTGTTTATCAATCTTCTTTCATCATGACTAATTTTATGAAACCTTCTTGGAATAATTACATTCTTTCCAAATGTTGCTCCATAACAGAAACACTTCCCATGTTTTCCAATCATGAATAATTTAGACATCATGTATTTCCTTCATCTTCTAATCCCATGCATGTTTTGTCTCTATATCCTGTTCTGCATTCAGTGAACCCCCAATCTCTCCAACACATTATTAATCTCTTTCTATTCTCTCTGGTTAGATATTGAACTTATACAGTTATACTGTTTGGTTATTGATACCGATATTTTTTCCTCAAGGTAACATTTCAATGATATATTGACATTGTTTCATTCCCTTAAAAATGATCAAGTTCAAGAGTATTCACCTCTAAGACATGTAACCTTGATACTTCACCTGAAAGCAGTTTCAGCTCAGAATTCTCCAGAAGGTTGGAATCTGTCATTATGTTGTTTTATCATCAACATAATATTATAGATGCACAGATACTTAAATCCCAGTAATACAAAACTAAATTAAAACATATACCACACACTCACATGAAGTGCAGGAAAGGGTTGCTCAACTCTCTGATGCATTTTATTTGGGGATTGAGCCTCATTAGCTTCTGGCTCCACCTTCATTGATGAAGCAAGGTGTTGACATTCTGCATTTGTGTGGTTCAATTCCAAATCTCGATCATACTTTCTACAAATGAGATACAGTTAAAACAAAATTACTTGTTTAGCATAGTTGGACTTCATTTTGTTGTGTTGTGGGAAAATGTCTCAAGAAAACTGTACAGCAGCAGGGGCAGAACACACTTTAGGGGATAGTGGATCACAGCACAAACAAACTACAATAAACTCTCAACGGACAGAGATGAACATAACAGACCACCTTCACTTAAAGTTCCAACCGTGCACACACACACCTCACAAATTAGACTTGCAGCTTCACAGTTTAATCTTACATGTTTCAGATTCCACAGACATTTCAAAAAGGGTGAATTTGAAAAATCTAACTGGCTTCAACTTTCCACTTATATGCCTTACTTGTGAGAGCATGGTGTGAGCAAGTTGGACATTGCATTTTCTGCATTGAGCAGTGTCTACGCTTCTAGATGTAGTTAATAGGACGTGGAGCTCTGAGATTTCAGACAGTTTTGAAAATCCTGATATAAATGCAAGTTCTTCCTTCCTTTATTTCTTTCTTAGCTGATGATGCAAGGACTGAAAGACACTGATTCAAAGTTGTGCGCAAGAGATATAGAATAATTTTTTTTAATGCAGTGTGGCCATAAGCTGAAACCCACTGGCATTAAGGATAGTGCAAAAAGAAGTGATGCATGATTTCAAAACAAAGTTGGATAGGGATGGAGAGAAATAGACCTGCAGAATTACATGAATAGAGTGAAAGAATGAGATTAGCAGGACTACTCTACAAGGAGTCAGCATGGACTTAAGATGAATTAACTCCTCCTCTGCTATTATGTCCACAAGCTAAATTTTACAAAACACCACGTTCACCACAAGCGCTCCTAGGCACTTCATTGGTTAAAATGTTGGGGAAACGAAGAGGAAGAAAACAAAGTCTGTGGTCCCAACAGTAACACTGCAATGTTTCTTTGTACAGAGTGCTGTTAATTGCTTTATGACCATCACATTAGATTGCTCACACTTCACTTCAAGCATTGCTGCTCCACTGTTGACTGCAAATACAAATCTTATTTATAAATCAGGAGCTGTGCTCTGATGGGTATGAAATTCCACATCATGGATCCTTAGGCCTACAACTCAACGTATCAAATAGTGGAGGAGCTGCAAATGGACTTTAGAGGACCATAATCCCTGAATACTGTCCAACAGTAATTTGTAGTGCATGAATATAATATATGCCAAATAATTCAGAAGGTAAATAACACCATTTAGAAATGCATTCGCCACTATGGAGATGAAATTGTCAGTTAGCATCTTGCACACTGTGGTTGTACTTTGCCTACTCTAGCCCTGCACAGTAGATTAAACCCAACTGCACCTCTGTGTCTGAATGAGAAACAGGAAGAACTGAGGTTGAATATATATGGCTAATTTTCTACTAGAGTTGTGACCATCGCGAACAATATGAGAACGTCCAAGTTCATCTCAGGTTTCTTTATTAGCAGAATTTGGGAAACACAGGCTAAATCATAATTAGAGTCTATTCCTAATTCATTTGTTATAGTGTTGATAGCCTGTTGCAGTCATTTCGTCGTAGCATTTCCACAATGCAGCTGTGATTATGAGACTAGTTTTAGTGAACTAGGAGCAACTAGTAATCATAGAATCTCAAGAATGTGGAAACAGGCCATTTGGCCCAACATGTTCACACCGACCCTCTGAAGAGCATCCCACCCATTCCTACCTGATCCCTCTTACCCTGCATTTCCTGTGGCTAATCCACCCAGCCTGCATATCCCTGGACACAATGGGCAATTTAGCATGGCCATTCCACCTAACCTGCACATCTCTGGACTGTGGCAGAAACCCATGCAGAAACAGGGAAAACGTGCAAACTCCACGCAGTGACCAGAGGTTGGAATTGAACCCAGGTCCCTGATGTTGTGAGGCAGTAGTACTAACCACTGAGCCACCATGCTGTCCCCCACCCCCTGCTTTGTCTTGGCCAGGTATTGGTTCTTCCTTCCTTCCTTAAGGAAACTGGTGAAAATTTCAAGATTTAAAACAACCTGGTAACTTTTATGGTAATTTTCTTCTGGTACTTTCCCGCAAATTATCAGTTATATTTTGGATCCTTTGGCCACAGTAATGGTGAATGCCACAAAGTTCACAACTATTAGAGAAACTTATAGAAACATATAAAATTATGAAGGGAATAGATAGGATGGAAGCAGGGAGGTTGTTTCCACCGGCACGTGAAACTAGAGCCAGGGGGCATAGCCTCAAAATAAAGTGGAGCAAGTTAAGGACTGAGTTCATGAGCAACTTCTTCACCCAAAGGGTTGTGAATCTGTGGAATTGCCTGCCCAGTGAAGCAGTTGAGGCTGCCTCTGAATGTTTTTAAGGCAAAGATGGACAGATTTTTGAACAGCAAAGGAATTAAGAGTTGTTGAGTGGGTGGATAAGTGGAGCTGAGTCCATGAAAAGATCACCAATGATCTTACTGAATGGTGGTGCAGGCTCGATGGGCCAGATGGCCTACTCCTGCTCCTATTTCCTATGTTCTAATTTTCTTACTAAAGGCTGCAACAGCACTGCAAAGTTCTGGGAGACTATTTATCCAAAACTATAATCCAAAAGTTGCTGTGCGCTTTAAAAAAAAAATGGACATGCTGAGGCTAAAGCAGAATCATTGTCATTTGGGAAACTGAGCTAACTGCCCAGAGATATGCTGTTTGACAAATCCGCATGTCATTAGGACACATAGCCTACACACCTTAACATTACATTGGCCCCGAACTTCATACACTACATTTACTCATTTGTGCGATTAGCAGAACGTCTTTTTGGCTTAATGGCAGCGTCCTGATCATAATAAATACCACTCATCTTGCTGATGCTTAATATCAGCATGAAACAGCACCTCACCATCACATATTCCTTCAATCTGTTTGCAACAAGCAAAGTAATAACTGTATCCAAACAGTCCATATTTATAAAGCCCAAAATACTATCCACTGTATACTTGATGTGATTCCATCATTGGACAGCATTTTCTATATAATTCAAGTACACTAAAAACTACATGGACAACAAATTTAAATAGTTAGTCACCTCATAATGTGCCACATCTGCACACACTGGAAGATTTGAAACCACTCTGCTATAATATATATTAATACAAACAGTCCTCTTTGCAGACAGAAAGAACACATGGTGCCTGTTTCAACTCAACAAAATAGGTCACTGCCATTCTCCAATTTATTTTTCGAGGCAATGCCTTAATTGGAGTCAAGCTGTTTGGTTTAAATTTTAATGAAGCTCAGCAGTCTCCTATCAATTAACAAATAACTGTTGCATTCTCCATGGCAGCATCTCCACCAACGAGTCCGCTTTCTAACCAGTCAGTATTTTTCTCATAAAGTACTTAGTGTAAAAAGATGTGTTTTATTTACACTGGTAATTCTTGCAAATTGTCCTAATGACAGCAAAATGTGAAGTTTCAACAAAATGTGCCATTTTTCAGCACTACAAGTTCTGTACTAATAAACGAATAAGAGAGGGAAATGCTGAACAAGTCAAATGATCAGATCAATGGAAAGTTGAGCCTTTGTTTTCAACCATCCCAATAGATCATAATGGGAAGCACGGTGGCTCAGTGGTTAGCATTGCTTCCTCACAGCACCAGGAACCCGGGTTCGATTCCACCCTCGGGCGACTGTCTGTGTGGAGTTTGCACATTCTCTCTGTGTCTGCGTGGGTTTCCTCTGGGTGCTCCAGTTTCCTCCCACAGTCCAAAGATGTGCAGGAAGGTGGATTAGCCTTGCTAAATTGCCCATAGTGTTCAGTGGTGTGTAGCTTGGGTGGGCTATAGGGGGATGGGTCTGGGTCGGAAGCTCTGAGGGTCGGTGTGGACTTGTTGGGCCGAAGGGTCTGTTTCTATGATATTTACAGGATGGTGGTCGTTCCATACCAGATGACAATAATCTATCCAACCTAATTCCATTTTCTTTCTTGATCCATTGCCCTATTTATGTCATGTCATTCCAAACACAGTACTAATTATAAGTTAAGAGGTATCTGTCTCTTATCATCTTTTCAGGCAGTGAGTTCCAGATTTTCTGAGAACTTCTCCTTGAATCCCCTCTGTACCTCTTAAACCTATGCTCCTCATTATCAATTCAACCAAATAGAGCCTTCCTAACCATTCAATCCAGATCCCTCAATTTTATGCACTTAAACCAGATTCCCCCCCACAGCCTTCTCTCTTCCACGAAACAACTCTAGCCTATCCAATCTTTCCTCAAACTCTCCCGTCCAGATTCCCCATTTATCTTCTCCACTCTAATCGCAAACTTTCCTATCATGTGTTAGCCTGTAGAATGCAGTTCTAATTGTCATTTATAAAGTTCCATCATAACCACCCAAATTTTATGCCTCATCCAAGGCAAGCATTCTGCATGCTATCTTGACAAACCCATCTACTTGTCCAGTCACCTTCAAGGACTGAAAGATATACACTTCAAGGTCCCTAACTTACTCTACACTTCTCAGCATACTACCATACATTGTCTATTCCTTTGCTTTTTTGGCTTCCATATTACCTTGCTTTTCCAGACCAAGTCCCATTGCCATTGTTCCAATCACATGCCTAGTCCATTGATACCTTCCTGCCGTGTACAGGTTCCTTTTTCATCAACCACATTAAACGTTTGTATTAAATTTAAACTTCTTGATCATGCCCTATTACATTCAAATCGAAATCATTGATACGCGTCACAAAAGGCAACAGAACTCATACTGGTATGTAACCTGAAAGGAAACAGAGTTCATATCACAAAACGCTCATTGATCATTACATTTTGCTTCCTGCTTTTGAGCTAACTTTAAATCCAGCTTACCACTTTGCCTTGGATCCGAAGATCTAACTTTTCATCAGTAATCTGCCACATGGAACCATATCAAAAGTTTTGCTAAGATCCATTTAGACTGTTTATCAAATGTACTACTCCCATCAAAACTCCTTACTTTGTGTAGTTAAACGCATGCAGCCAGAGAAACAAGAGTTCCTCCAATACTCACTTTGAAAGTTGGGGAAAGTCTTCATGTCGTCCTACATACTCAGCTGATGATTTTTTGGGTTGTTGGCCTGGGGACTGCTGTGTGGAGTGCTGCTGCCTGGCACCCATTGTTTGCTGGAGACGTGGTGGTAGGCTTGACTGTAATCGGCTTGGTTTATTTACAAAACTGCTTGAATTCTTCACTCCCTTGAAGTCAGCTTCTGTCAAGTGAAATATACAATTCTTTTATGTACAGTATTTTGGTCTGACTGTACAATAGCATGGCACAGTACAATCAACTACTAACAAAACTTCTCAGAACATTTAATGTTTCGGGTGATACCTGTAGCCCAAACTGAAATACCGGTAATGGTCAATTCAGCTCAATATGGAAAGTTGTGAAAGATGACGCAGGATAATAAAATGACAAAGAAACCTTTAATTATCAGAGCTATAGTTATCAAGACACACATGGGAAGAAATTTGAAACTACTTCCATCTTCATAGGATCATCACTGTGGTGAAGGGTGCGAGGACTTTGAAGCAACATAAAGAACACAACTGCAATGTCCATCAAGCCTGTGGAACATCTGGGGTCTAAGACAATCATAAGAGGCATTTTGAAACAATTCATAGGAACTCTGTCCATTAGGGATAGCATCGGCATTCACAAGGCATTGAGCTGACTATGCACATAGTAACTAATCTCTGGTCCCCCAGGTTCTAAGCACATGTCCTAAGGGGTATGACATTCTTCTGTTTTTCATTATGCAGCAAAAGGAGGACGACACATAAGAAGTTCTGCTTTTCTCTGAACATCAGACCAGCACACCAGGTGCGAACTAGGACTAGGCTATTAAGAGTCTAGTTAGGGAGCATGTAACCCTTTTAGTCTTCTCATTGAGTTTAAAGCGGGCAGCTGAAAGGGCATGCCCATTTTCTGTGAATTAAAGATTCAAGGCCTAGGTAAAAGAGATCACTGCTTTTTCTTCTGTGGGATAAAGTAAAGGTTGAGAGACAAGGCTAAGGACTTTGCGGACGATTCTACCTTTTGAATATTATTTGGAAACCAGATGCATAAACCTTAATCTCACTGTTTAAATTTAAGATGGAGATAAATAAAAGAGGCCAGTTTTCTTATATTTTAGAAAGGTATCACACAAACTAGATTGGGAAGATTCAGTTTCTGTGGATATTTATAAAATTAAAAGAAATCAGTTCAGAAGTTTTATCATTCATTGAAGGATCCTGCATAATCTTCATCAGCTATCAGTGTGCTATTCATATCCTTGTGATTTTGGAACATAGTTTGAGAAGTTGATAATCCTACACCTTTGTCGGTGTTTCTACTCAAGTCTGAACCCTTGTAACACTTGAAGTGTTACACATCAAAAAATACATATCATCTACTTGCATTTGTATTTGATGGTCTCAATACGAAAGTACATATGTGGATACATATAAAATAAACAAGTTAATATATCTAATATCAATTTGTACAAATGGATCTAATCTTTGTCTTGTTACTGCCATATCATGAATCATAAATCTCTTCTTCCACCTCAAAGAATGTATTAAAAAGAAATTTACCAGAGTTGATGTTCATTGGCTTCTTAGCTCTTTTCCCCTGAACTCTGTTCCAGCTTGAGCCCCGAGAAATCTGTGAAAGTGGCCTAAGGTTCTGCAGAGAGGCATTGTATCTAAAACAGAAACAATGTATGCATGTACATTTGAAGAAGCAAACAGTTTGTCACAATATTCCTGGTTCATGGTTTTGTTCAAACAGCTCTTGCATGTTTTTGTATCATTTATATTTTCAATATTCAGTCTATCCCTTCAGCGTTGTTTTTGAGATTTGTCATTTTCTGATTTCACAGTTCTGCACTTGTAAGAGTAAAGAGTAAAGAGTAACCGAATGAATCAAGTATAAAATCAGAAGGGAGTCTGAACAAAACACATCTATGCAGCATTCACTTATCACTTAGGTTACCTATAACCTGCTACTTATGATTGCATTTTCCATATGGTATTCTGCAAACGAAAGTAACTTGAAACAAGTGATTATTGGTACATGTACAAAGCAACAGATGGATCTCACCCACAGTTACTGTGCATTGCCCTAATGGTCAATGATAACTTTCAATTGGGCCACTAGATGGAGCATTGGCCATTTACTCTCAGAATGAATCACAGAATCCCATACGACCATAAGACATAGGAGCAGAAATTAGGCCATTCGGCCCATCGAGTCTGCTCCGCCATTCAATCATGGCTGATAAGTTCCTCAACCCCATTCTCCTGCTTTCTCCCCGTAACCCTTGATCCCCTTGATAATCAAGAACCTATCTATCTCAGTCTTAAATGTACTTAATGACCTGGCCTCCAGAGTCTTCTGTGGCAGTGAATTCCATAGATTCACCACACTCTGGCTGAAGAAGTTTCTCCTTATCTCCATTCTAAAAGGTCTTCCCTTTACTCTAAGGCTGTGCCCTCGGGTCCTAGACTCTCCTACCAATGGAAGCATCTTCCCAACATCCACTTTTGTCCAGGCCATTCAGTATTCTGAAAGTTTCAATTAGATCCCCCCCTCATCCTTCTAAACTCCAATGAGTATAGTCCCAGAGTCCTCAAATGTTCCTCATATGTTAAGCTTTCCATTCCTGGGACCATTCCCGTGAATCTCCTCTGAACCCGCTCCAGGGCCAGTACATCCTTCCTGAGATATGGGGCCCAAAACTGCACACAATACTCCAATTGTGGCCTGACCAGAGCCTTGTAAAGCCTCAGCAGTACATCCCTGCTTTTGTATTCAAGTCCTCTCAAAATAAATGCCAACTTTGCATTTGCCTTCCTGACTACTGACTCAACCTGCAAGTTTACCTTGAGAGAATCCTGGACTAGAACTCCCAAGTCTCTTTGCACTTCAGACTTCTGAATTTTCTCCCCATTTAGAAAATAGTCCATGCTTTTGTTCTTCTGACCAAAGTGCATAGAACATAGAACATAGAACATTACAGCGCAGTACAGGCCCTTCGGCCCTCGATGTTGCACTGACCTGTGAAACCAATCTGAAGCCCATCTAACCTAAACTATTCCATTATCATCCATACGTTTATCCAATGACCACTTAAATGCCCTTAAAGTGGGCGAGTCTACTACTGTTGCAGGCAGGACATTCCACGCCCTTACTACTCTCTGAGTAAAGAACCTACTTCTGACATCTGTCCTATATCTATCACCCCTCAATTTAAAGCTATGTCCCCTCATGCTAGCCATCACCATCCGAGGAAAAAGGCTCTCACTGTCCACCCTAATCCTCTGATCATCTTGTATGTCTCTATCAAGTCACCTCTTAACCTTCTTCTCTCTAACGAAAACAGCCTCAAGACCCTCAGCCTTTCCTCATAAGACCTTCCCTCCATACCAGGCAACATCCTGGTAAATCTCCTCTGCACCCTTTCCAATGCTTCCACATCCTTCCTATAATGCGGCGACCAGAACTGTACGCAATACTCCAAGTGCAGCCGCACCAGAGTTTTGTACAGCTGCAACATGACCTCATGGCTCCGAAACTCAATCCCTCTACCAATAAAACCTAACACACTGTATGCCTTCTTAACAACCTGGGTGGCAACTTTCAGTGATCTATGCACAAGGACACCGAGATCTCTCTGCTCATCCACACTACCAAGAATCTTACCATTAGCCCAGTACTCTGTATTCCTGTTACTCCTTCCAAAGTGAATCACCTCACACTTTTCCGCATTAAACTCCATTTGCCACCTCTCAGCTCAGCTCTGCAGCTTATCTATGTCCCTCTGTAACCTGCAACATCCTTCCGCACTATCCACAACTCCACCGACTTTGGTGTCATCCGCAAATTTACTAACCCATCCTTCTACGCCCTCATCCAGGTCATTTATAAAAATGGCAAACAGCAATGGTCCCAAAACAGATCCTTGAGGTACACCACTAGTAACTGAACTCCAGAATGAGCATTTCCCATCAACCACCACCCTCTGTCTTCTTACAGTTAGCCAATTTCTGATCCAAACCGCTAAATCACCCTCAATCCCATGCCTCCGTATTTTCTGCAATAGCCTACTGTGGGGAACCTTATCAAACGCTTTACTGAAATCCATATACACCACATCAACCGCTTTACCCTCATCCACCTGTTTGGTCACCTTCTCAAAGAACTCAATAAGGTTTGTGAGGCACAACCTACCTTTCATAAAACCGTGTTGACTATCCCTAATCAAATTATTCATTTCTAGATGATTATAAATCCTCTCTCTTATAATCCTTTCCAACACTTTACCCACAACCGAAGTAAGGCTCACTGGTCTATAATTACCAGGGTTGTCTCTACTCCCCTTCTTGAACAAGGGGACAACATTTGCTAGTCTCCAGTCTTCTGGCACTATTCCTGTAGACAATGACAGCATGAAGATCAAAGCCAAAGGCTCTGCAATCTCCTCTCTAGCTTCCCAGAGAATCCTAGGATAAATCCCATCTGGCCCAGGGGACTTATCTATTTTCACACTTTCCAGAATTGCTAACACCTCCTTCTTATGAACCTCAATCCCGTCTCGTCTAATAGCCTGTATCTCAGTATTCTCCTCGACAACATTGTCTTTTTCCTGTGTGAATACTGACGAAAAATATTAATTTAGTGCCTCTCCTATCTCTTCGGACTCCATGCACAACTTCCCACTACTGTCCTTGACCGGCCCCAATCTTACTCTAGTCATTCTTTTATTCCTGACATACCTATAGAAAGCTTTAGGGTTTTCCTTGATCCTACCTGCTAAAGACTTCTCATGTCCCCTCCTGGCTCTTCTTAGCTCTCTCTTTAGGTCCTTCCTGGCTAACTTGTAACTCTCAAGCACCCTAACTGAGCCTTCATGCCTCATCTCTACATAAGCCTCCTTCTTCCTCTTGACAAGAGATTCAACTTCTTTAGTAAACCACGGTTCCCTCGCTCGACCACTTCCTCCCTGCCTGACAGGTACATACTTATCAAGGACACGCAGTAGCTGTTCCTTGAACAAGCTCCACATTTCAATTGTGCCTAGCCCCTGCAGTTTCCTTCTCCCTCCTATGCATCCTAAATCTTGCCTAATCGCCTCATAATTGCTTTCCCCCAGCTATAACTCTTGCCCTGCGGTATATACCTATCCCTTTCCATCGCTAAAGTAAACGTAACCGAATTGTGGTCACTATCACCAAAGTGCTCACCTACCTCCAAATCTAACACTTGGCCTGGTTCATTACCCAGTACCAAATCCAATGTGGCCTCACCTCTTGTTGGCCTATCTACGTACTGTGTCAGGAAACCCTCCTGCACACATTGGACAAAAACTGACCCATCCCATCTAAAGTACTCGAACTATAGCGTTTCCAGTCAATATTTGGAAAGTTAAAGTCCCCCATAACAACTACCCTGTTACTTTCGCTCCTATCCAGAATCATCTTTGCAATCCTTTCCTCTACATCTCTGGAACTTTACGGAGGCCTATAGAAAACTCCCAACAGGGTGACCTCTCCTTTCCTGGTTCTAACCTCAGCCCATACTACCTCAGTAGACGAGTCCTCATCAAACGTCCTTTCTGCCACCATAATACTGTCCTTGACTAACAATGCCACACCTCCCCCTCTTTTACCACCTTCTCTGATCTTACTGAAACATCTAAACCCCGGAACCTGCAACAACCATTCCTGTCCCTGCTCTATCCATGTCTCCGAAATGGCCACAACATCGAAGTCCCAGGTACCAAACCATGCTGCAAGTTCACCCACCTTATTCCGGATGCTCCTGGCATTGAAGTGGACACACTTCAAGCCACCTTCCTGCCTGCCGGTATACTCCTGCGACCTTGAAACCTTATTCATGACCTCAGTACGCTCAACCTCCTGTACACTGGAGCTACAATTCAGGTTCCCATCCCCCTGCTGAATTAGTTTAAACCCTCCCGAAGAGCATTAGCAAATTTCCCCCCAGGATATTGGTACCCCTCTGGTTCAGGTGTAGACCATCCCGTTTGTAGAGGTCCCACCTAGCCCAGAATGAGCCCCAATTATCCAGGTATCTGAATCCCTCCCTCCTGCACCATCCCTGTAGCCACGTGTTCAACTGCTCTCTCTCCCTATTCCTCCCCTCGCTAGCACGTGGCACGGGTAACAAATCAGAGATAACAACTCTGTTTGTTCTAGCTCTAAGCTTCCACCCTAGCTCCTTGAATTTCTGCCTTACATCCCCATCCCTTTTCCTACCTATGTCGTTGGTGCCTATGTGGACCACGACTTGGGGCTGCTCCCCCTCCCCCTTAAGGATCCCAAAAACACAATCAGAGACATCACGGACCCTGGCACCTGGGAGGCAACACACTAACCGCGAGTCTCTCTCGTTCCCACAGAATCTCCTATCTGTCCCCCTAACTATGGAATCCCCAATGACTAATGCTCTCCTCCTCTCCCCCCTTCCGTTCTGAGCAACAGGGACAGACTCTGTGCCAGAGACCTGTACCCCATGGCTTAAGTCGCTCCCCCCCCAACAGTATCCAAAACGGTATACTTGTTATTGAGGGGAACGGCCACAGGGGATCCCTGCACTGTCTGCCTGTTCCCTTTCCGTCCCCTGACTGTAACCCATCTACCTTTTTCCTGTACCTGAGGTGTGAGTACCTCCCTGTAACTCCTCTCAATTACCCCCTCAGCCTCCCAAATG